AGAGAAAAAATTTAACATCTTTAATCTTAAAATGCAGCAGTTAGCAACTGCTTTTGTGCTTAGTAATAAACTACCTTTAATGACCTAACCTAAATAGTGGTATAGAAATAATAAATAAATAAAAAAGGATTACGCACCTCACAGTTCCCACAGGACGCGCTTGCTCTGCCAGGCCCTGAGGGATGCAGGCCTCCTCTTCACACTCTTTTACCATGGTATGCCTTACACTACAGCTTGCTGCCAGTCCTCCAGCCGCCTGAGTGATAAATCAAATCCTTTAAAGACCCCATTACATCAAACTAGGAGGTTTGTGGTTTTTAGTCAGTGTTTGTTAGTTCTGAGGACAACTTTAAAAGCACACTACTAATTTATAGCAGATATACACAATTTATTACTCTATATATTTATATATTAATTATTTTATACACTACTGTTCAAATGTTTGGGATGGGTCGAATATTTAAAAAAAAAAAGAAGTCTCTAATGCTCATCAAGACTGTATTTATTTGATTACAATACAGTAAAAACAGTAAAATAGTGAAATATTTTTACAATTTAAAATAACTTTTCTATTTTAATATATTTTTTAAAATGTAATTTATTACCGTGTTGGTAAGCCTGAATTTTCTGCAGTCATTACTTCAGTCTTCCGTGTCACATGATCTGAAATCATTCAAATATGCTAATTTGGTGCACAAGATTTTTTTTATTTTTTTTTTATTATCATCAATGTTGAAAACAGTTGTGCTGCTCAACTGGATTCTCTGATGAAGAAAACGTTCAAAGAACAGCATTTATTTGAAATATAAATCTTTTGTAACATTATAAATGTCTTTACTGTCACATTAAATAGTTTAATACTTGCTGAACAAAAGTATTAATTAAAACAAATCTTACTGTCCCCAAACTTTTGAACAGAAGTGTATGTTTAAATGGCCCAACTTCCTCAAAATTCAACGCTTTTTTATTGTCATATATACAGGGTACATCATATTACAATTAAAGTCTTACTTGAGAAATTCCCGCAGGTAAAGTCAACAATGCAATGTGCAAAAATTAAAAACAGTGCAAACATAACTTGCGTAAACAACAGACTTACAAAACCCCACACAAAGGCAGAATACAATACATAAGTGTTTAAAATGTTGTATGTACATGAATGTATTAAGTATGTAAAAAATAAGTTAAGTCATTAAACGGCAGCAATACAAATGTAGCATTAACATAATTGGATGAATCCTTGAGGTAGTACTATATTGAAGTGCAAAGAGTGTTGACGGCAAGTGATACGAAATGAGATATGACTGGTTAAGTTAAATGAGCGTGTAGTGTGAAAGAGTCGTAGATTTAAGTGTTAAAAGTAACTGTATGATTCAACCTACTGTTGACTCAACCTGTTTGGTGTGGCACTTCTTGTAACGAGCCGATTAATTAGTTTATTAATAAATTACCATGTTGTCAAGTCTTCCTGGATATGTCTGTTTGGTCAGAGATCGTCGTGCCAGCCACATATTAAGGTTGCCACTTGAATCCCGAGTGTAGCCATTGACATGGACGCCGTACCGTTTCACTCCAAACAGACCTGCGTTTGACCATTATTTAGAAACAGCTATAAGTGTCACTCTCTGTGACAAAGTAGAAGCATGAAATTAATATTTCAATAACATACTTGTAGCTGCTCTCTCCATATACATCAGCGGAGGGTCGCAATACCTGGGCATCACAGCATATTGCTGAAAATAAAATACACTCTGATAATTCTGAAAAAACCAGAGGCCTTATTTATAAAACGCATGTATGATCGGATTGGATCCCAAATTCCATGAAGTTCATCCTATATCAAAAGTGAACAACAAATCAGGATTTGCAGGAACGGCTATGAAAATGTCTGTATGTATACTCCAACTTAAGTACAGTACGTACACATTTTTGTGCTCATATTTACCAGTCATCCAATTTTCATTAAGCAAATAATCCAATCCAATTTCATGTTTATTATAATGCAAAGATAAACAGACAATCACAATATGCATTAATATTATTATAAAATACAAAAATCATTTCAGATAGTTTCTAGGGCAATATTTCTCATTTTCCTTTAGTTTGAGTTGTTTACTTAATGTACTTAACTTAAACTGAAATAAAAATGTATAAAAACTATGTAGACATTTATAAATGAAACAAACTACTAAAAAAGACAAAAAACTTGAACTAAAATTAAAATGGAAAAATAAAAATACAAAAAATATTAAAATTACGAATAAAACTATAATAGTATCTCAATTACACTAAAGTAGCACTGCAATGTATACAGTGGGATGCATTTAGGAAAACATTTTGTGCATATGGACATTTCATAAATTGTTTGTAGGAACATTTTCGAAAAATTGTCATGCATCCACATTTAGGATCATTCTAAGGGCATCTTTATAAATGAGGCCCATAGGTATGAAATCACCAAAGTTTTAAAAATGATCCTGTAGTGAATTATTCTGGGTTTTTTATTTAATACAAATTGATGGCATGATGTGTTTGTTTTATAGGATTGGGTGAGGGTGGCTTGAAAATCATGTGCACGGATCAAATAATCCCCATTAATATAAAAAATAAAACATTGCTCATCATTTTTGACATTGGAAGGAACTGACACACAACTGCTCAAGAAGTAAGGATGAAGATGGGCAATTATCCAGCATGTACCATAGATGTCTCACCTCATCTCTCCAGCCTATGAGACAGGTGAATGTTGCCTCTCTCCTCAGCTCCTTCAAGACCTCATCCACAGCCACTGATCTGCTCTCAAAAGTGTCAAGACCGGAGCTGAAGGTTATAGTGCTCCCGTATGGTCTGAAGACAGCAGGAAAACAACCAAGAATTGATGCTACTTTTGGGTAAATCCATCCAACCTGTTCTCCAGCCACCTCAAAACGTAGACAGCTCTCTAAACTAGAACCTGGTGTAAAAGAATGCATTTGTATATGAATTATACATGTATATTATAGTATTATATATTAGTCAATGAGAAACAACAAAAATAACATGTTTTCTTTGTTTTCCTTGAATGCAGGTGTGTATACAGAAGTTCAAAAAGGTTTAAAAAAAAACGATCACAAATGTACATTAATTATTATTTACAATATTTACAAATATTATTTTTGAGGTTTTCTTGACTTTTTAATAAATTAAACGTGAGTCATGGATATCAATAAGTCTTTACTCGTTACAAATCTTTTAATCCATACTCTGAAAACATGTTCATAATAAAAATAAGCCTTTGTCAGCATGAGTTGAATTTTAATGTATTTTTACAGATCAAGTAAGCTTTTCATTGACCCTTGACATATGCATTCCTGCTGGATCACATGCATATGGATTGCTCTGTCATGATTCTTTTAATATTTCCCCACCTGGTAAATGAAAGTTATTCATTCGACGCAGGAGTTGTAGCATTTTCTCCGACCACGAAGCCATTTTGTCGATTTCACGCGTGGAACAGCTAATTGTCCGTTCAGTAAGCGTGCATTATGATTTTGGGGGATTTGCGCTTGATTAGCCGTTGACATGCTGTCATACACCCACGGGCTCCATGCTCGCCTCCATTGTTGCAGTTCCTGTTGATGTGAGCGCTGATTGGTTCGCAGGTTCTGCTGATCTGCGCGCTGATTGGTTGAAGCTCTATGACGAGATCTTGAAGGGCTATGACGAGATTTGCTCATATGTGTTTCTCCACCAGAGGGCGAATCAAGAGCAAAACAAAGGCCACTCAGAATGTTACTGGACCAAAATACTTTGGAATGAATGCTGAAAGGCCATGTTAGTCCTCCATATGAAATGCAAAACGTTTACTGGTCATTTATGTTCTGTTGGTCATCAGAAATTTTTTCGAATTCACATCATATAATCTTTGTGAATCAGCTTTGGCTTGTGGCTTGGCACAGATAGTGAGGTAAGATCGGTTTATATACCACCCTTTTACATTTACATTTAGTCATTTAGCAGACGCTTTTATCCAAAGCGACTTACAATTGGGTGATACATAAAGCGATTCTTCTTAAGAGGCAAACAGACACAGGAAGTGGTTGTAATACCAAGTTCTTAGACATTGTTCAAATAAGTACAAGCTAGAAAGAGAAGGAATAAATAAAGAGAGAGAGTTTTTTTTTATTTTTTATGATGAAGTCAAGTAGCTTCGAAAGAGATGGGTTTTCAGCTGTCGCTTGAAAATTGTCAGGGATTCAGCATTCCGGATAGGGGTGGGAAGATCGTTCCACCAGCCAGGAGTGGTGAACGAGAATGTTCTGGAAAGTGATTTTGAGCCTCTCTGTGATGGTACCACGAGGCGTCGCTCACTAGCGGATCTCAGACTTCTGAAGGGGATGTAGATTCGTAGTAGTGAGTGGAAGTAGGCGGGTGCTGAGTCTGTGGCTGTTCTATATGCAAGCATCAATGTCTTGAACTTGATTCGAGCCGCAACCGGTAGCCAGTGCAAGGAGATAAAGAGAGGTGTAACATGGGCTCTCGTGCAGCCGTCTGTCTCTTCTGTTGACTAATCGCTTGACACAAAAGGGTCAATCACCCTTTTGTGATTGACAGTATTAGATGAACACGTTTGTTCGTTTATAAGTCTACCAAAAAGTGACAATTTGGTTAAAACAACCTAATATGAATGGCAAAGTAAGTCATGACCCATTAAGTTTTTCATTGTTTTGGACTTTACATTGATTGCTCCAGTCTAAAACAAAACCGTGAAATATTAACCACAATTTCCACCAAAATGCCAAACTTAAAAGTTATTTTTTGTTACTACCAGTGCCAAAAATGTCATTCATTCATTCATTCAAACATACACAGTGTTAGGGAAATTCATTCATTCATTCATACATACATACAGTGTTGGGGAAAGTTACTTTTAAAAGTAATGCATTACAATAATGGGTTACTCCTTAAAAAGTAACTAATTGCATACTTCGTTGCTTTGCGTTACATTACTTTTGCGTTACTTTTTCTCATCTGGGCTTGCTTGTATGTTTTTAATATAAAAAAAGCTATATTTTTGGCATATGCAAAAGCCATATTTAACTTTATTGCATATTTAATTATTGCAGGTTTGCGTCATATTCTAAGTTTGCATTTAAGTTTTTATTCATTTTGAGGAATACTAAATCTGTATTTGTGCAAGTGAGATGAGTAAATGCATGTTCATATTTAGTATAGAGCTACAGTAACCATTGTATTTACACATTGCACTTACTGCAGATTTTTCTCAACATGGGAACTGAGAGCTGTTTGTTAGTCAATAAATGGGAAAACAAAGTAGCTGGTGTTACTTATTTGAAAAAGTAACTTTTACTGTCAATTGAAAAGTAATGCATTACTTTACTAGTTGAAAAAAGTAATCTGATTACGTAACTCTGATTAAGTTACTTGTAATGCATTACCCCCCAACACTGTACATACATGCAATCAATCACTCCCCGGAACTGATTTAAAACATGTTCTACCATAGATATTTTTCTAATATGTTAGAAAAAATTGGATTTAAAAAAATTAATAAATAAAACTCACTGCACATTTTAAATATCGGGGCATTTTTTTTGCCTCAAGCTGTGTATCATATCCATGCTCAGGCGTAGATATATTAGATATAGCACTGCTTTTGTGCCAGTGAGCAACAGGATTTATCCAAAGCCTAACAAAGAGATCCATTACAGATACAGACAGCGAGAAAGAAGGACAGTAAAAATGTTGGTTATATTGCATCGCTGTAATCTGCACCATAATCTTAGGGTCAGTTCTCCCTCTGAGCACTAAAAATATACAGACAGTAATCACTGTTGTTAGAGGACTGAGAAGCATCTAGTGGTAGGCGGATTTTTAATGAGTCAAGAAAAGCAAACTGTTCCCAAATGCACACAGCTAGAGAAGAGATAAACAGAAGAGATATTTCTTTGCAGGGGTTTCTTTCTATCCATCTATCTATCTATCTATCTATCTATCTAGCTATCATTCTTTTGTTCTGTCGTTCTTTCATCTATCGTTATGTCTTTCCATTGTTCTATCATTTTATTGTTCTGTCTATCTATCATTCTGTCATTCTATCTATCTAGAGTCAGTCACGTTTTCTAAACAGTCTGGGCGGTAGATTTATCATGTTCTCGACAGGCTTGGCTCCAGCCGTGTGTGTGGACGGATGGGGAATTCTAGGAAAAAGTAAACTCTGATTCTCAAGTTGTCATGAAGAAAATGAACGCACTAGACTGTTTGCTGTCTGAGGTTGGCTTACTTCAGTTGTATATCAAACCGTATTTTTGGAAGTCTTCATACACAGTCTCATTCCAAAAGTGGACCACAGATGAAGGATGTTGCTAAAATGATTTCTAAGTTATTTGTTTGTGACATTTATATCTGGTCTAATCTGTTTTTTGGTCGGACTCTGTGCAGGCGTACGAGGTAAACCCGAAGGCAGGAAGAATGTGGGTGGTGTTGTTTGCCTGTTTAAAATGATTGTTTGTCTTCATGAACATTCGGAGATTTTATTTTTGAATGAATAACAGGAAGCTCTGGGCATGTCTTGTGGGGGAGTATTACATCAAATTGCTTAATAATTTTCTGTATGGGAGGTAAAAACAAAGAAAGGCTATAACAAGCTGGAGTGGAGGAGATGCAAACAGAATTAAGTAGAACTAAATTACTTATTTGTCCCAGCCTGCTCCAAACACATTTTATATAATCCAAACAAGCTTGCACTTGTGTGCTAATGTTGTGTTAGCTGACCACATTTTCTTGCACTGATTAATGTCCATATTCTGAAAAACCTTTATTCCGATAAAGAGGTTTATATGCTTCATGGTTATTGGAATATTCCTGTATACACTGTCATTTACACACAAGACATCTATTAATGTTAGTTTGTGAAATGTTTGCAAAAATATTCATTCTCATTTCAAACATTGTTTCTTCAAAATCAACGTTTTTAGCACCTAAAAGTACAAATGAATATTCTGTTGTGTTAAATGGATATTCTAAATAAGATATTTGCATGATAAAGAATTATGTAATACAGGCATATGCGATCTATGTTATTTTGATTGTTAGAAGTATTTTGGAATATTTTCTTAATTAGGTTATTTCAATCTGTTTACCACATTTATGTGACTTGTGCTTAAATTTAGATTAATATACACTACTGTTCAAAAGTTTGAGGTCACTAAGATTTTTTAATACTTTAATTCCTTTTTAAAGTATTTAATTTAAAATACTTTAAAATGAATGCTTATTCAGCTAGTATATAGTAAAATGTGACAGTAAATATTTCTATTTCAAATAAACGTTGTTGTTTTTTTTAACTTTCTATTTATCAAAGAGTTAAGAAAAAAATTTTTTCAGGTTTTTTAAATATTAAGCAGCACAACTGTTTTCAACATTGATAATAAGAAGAAATGTTTACTGAGAACCAAATCATATTAGAATGATTTCTGAAGGATATTTACAGTTATTACAGATATTTTCAGAATGTTACAGTTTTTATGAACGTTTTCCCAATCATTTTAGGATAGTTTTTATGTAAACAATTATACTTGTGATTTTTGCCTAGCTGGACAGACCCAAACCATATTCAGGGATCTAGAATATGAAGACCTGAGAGTTGACTCTTGTGACTCGGGCCAGTAAGCAACCACAACAACCTACAATAGCCTAGAATCATTTTCCAAAAATGTAAACGTGTTGCATTGAGATCATTTCAGCTTTGTCAATAATAGAACTACTCGGATAGAAAATGGCATAAAGCCTCTGTAATGTTATTTAATGAAGTGGTTGTCATAGCAACAGTGCTCGTATGCAGTGAAATGGGCACACTGGACAGAAAGAGGCCGCATGGTCAAGCAAGGTTGCAAAAGGCAATGGAACTTGAAGAATTTCTCAGGACTGTGGTGCCGTTGGCCCTTGGACAAACAAAGCTACCTTTCACATCAACAGGCTCCCTACAGACCAATGTTTTCTCTGCTCTTCCATCAAACGTGCACTAGCAGTGAAGCACAAAGAATAATGAGCATTTTAAGAGAGACTTCAAGCTATGTTTTATTCATCAACACATAAATCTGAAATCCCACACACCGGAAGTGCATCCGTTGACGTCAGAACATTAAATCGTGTCAAAGATAAGATTTTTTTCCACCTTGAGGACGCTCTAATAGTTTATTTTTATCTCAGGACCGATGGGCGTTCGTTGAGAGGGAAAGGAGAGGCAGTGGGTCTTCAGGGCAAGTGAAAGAGGCGCTTTGTTGAAACTGTTTTGATTTTATTTTTTCTCTCTCACTCCCCTGCTTCCGTTCCATTCCTTCCTCCTCACTCTCTGCTCTCACCTTTGCATTTCTTTTTCTTTTTTCTTCCCTCGGAGGATGGGTGATGGGTTGAACATGATTTCCAGAGGCAGAATATAACTGGCCTTTCAGAGGGTGCAGCCCTCAGAATCATTGAGACAGCTGTCTCCAGCAGATTGTACCTGAACTGACTCCAGCTACATTAACAATGTACAAGCCTTTAGCTTTGTGTCTGTGTTTAGCGCTTTTAGCGGCTGAGGGAAAACGAGAAAAGGGAAGAAGAGAGAGACAGAGGAGCTCCAGACGATTCTTATCCACGGAGGATGCACCTGACTATGATAACCCTTTCCTTCCAGGTGAGCAGTGCTTATAGCATTTTTTATTTGAGTCAAAAAATAATAAGAGAAGAATATATGGTTTTCTGATATTGTGATTTTATATTTATATTTATTGTGCAATTGTTGAAAAAATAAGTTGTTTTAAAAAAGGGGTTATTTAAGACAAAAATGCACAAAAATAGTCAAATATATATGTATGTTTGTATATGTGACCCTGGAGAACAAAACCAGTCTTAAGTCGCTGGGGTATATTTGTAGCAATAGCCAAAAATACATTGTATAGGTCAAAATTATTTATTTTTCTTTTATGCCAAAAATCATTAGGATAATAAGTTAAGATCATGTTCCAAGAAGATATTTTGTAAATTTCCTGTAAATATATTAAAACTTAATTTTTGGTAATATGCATTGCTAGGAACTTAATTTGGACAAATTTAAAGGCGATTTTCTCAACATTTAATTTTTTTTGCACCCTTAGATTCCAGATTTTCAAATAGTTGTATCTCGGCCAAGTATTGTCATATCCATACTTCAATGAAAAGCTTATTTATTCAGCTTTCAGATCATGTATAAATCTCAATTTCAAAAAATTGACCTTTATGACTGGTTTTGTGGTCCAGGGTCACATATGCATATGCATATGTTATTATTTAAAATTCATTGTCCCGTTTTATTTATTGAAAACAAGTGGTTAAACTAATTGAAGATGAAAGGCCTGTACAATATTTGGATAATACAAATATTTGGACAAAAGTCATACTTAAAAATGTATGAATGTCTTTGCATTACAACAAAACATCAAACCAAGTAGCATTCATTTGACAGAACACAAACACATTTCAAGCAAAACAATTTAAAAACAGAATTTCTTTGTGGGACACCATTGAAAACTGACATCATACACTAAAAATAAATTATATTTTTATTTTATTTTTTTATTATTTTTAATATTTTAAATTAAATGTATACATTATATTTAATTTGTATATTATATTATATTATTCTATTATAGGCACTTATCATATGTCATTCTTGTGTGCTGAATTCTGAAATTTTGTCTGTGTGGATACATGCCAGGGCGTAGCAGCCAGTGCTTGGTGAATGGAATTTCTCTGTTTGAGGGGGCTGTCTGGTCTCCAGAGCCTTGCAGTGTGTGCCAGTGTAAAGATGGTGCCGCAAGCTGCCGAACCATCCCCTGCCCAGCCAGAGGTTTGGGAACCACCATCTCTTCTCTTTTGATGAATAGAAAGCTCAAAAGAACTGCATTTAAATTAGAAATATTTGAAATAGAAATATTTTGTAAAATTATAAATATCTTTACTGCCACTTTCAAACAAGTTAATGTGTTCTTGCTGAATAAAAATATTAATTTAATCTTACTGACCCCAAACTTTTGAACAGTAGGCTTAGTGCATGTTCCATTCTTGCTTTTTGATTGTTCTTTTGGGGTTTACTTTAAAATAGTAATTGGATTAGTGATTTGTAGTAAGAGCTAAAGAGAACAGTGGGCATCCCTGTGGTGATGCAGGCTGGGAATTATGTAAAACATTGGCTCCTAGTGTGATGCAATGCAGTGCTGGGAAAGGTGCCATCATGGAGTGGGATGCTTGGTGGTGGGTACTGATTTTCTGTTTGCCACACCATGTCTAGCTTCACCCACCCTGAAGTCTGTGGCCAGTAAGCCCAGTCCAACATCTGTGGGGAAAACAAGCTCGAAAAACAGACCAACAGGAAATGGAAAACCACCTGTGGGGACGGAGGTTCTGGAGGTGAAACCAAAGAAGAACAAGATGGTGATCATCACCCCAGCAAAAGAAGTATGTAGATGTGCATGAGAAAATGTAGTATACTTCTTATACTTCATACTGATTTTTTCCCTCATTATTGTACTTCTTTTCCTTTAGATGTGTATTTGTTGGTCCTAACTGGTTTAAGGTGGTCTTTCTGCTCGTTTAGTCTATCTATGCTGGTGCTCAGCTGGTTTACCTGGTTGGCCAGTCAGTCTTCCGTTGTTGCCAGATGAAAAGTATCCAAAACCACTCTACACTCTTAAAGGGATAGTTCATCCCAAAAATGAAAATTCTGTCATTAATTACTCACCCTCATGTCATTCCAAACCCGTAAGATCTTCGTTCATCTTCGGAACACATATTGCATGGTGGTACTCTTGTGAATGTGTGTTGAAGACTGACACGGAAGAGAAGAAATTGTTGAATAAAGTCGTTATTTTTGTTTTCTTTGCGCACAAAAAATATTCACGTAGCTTCATAAAATGAAGGTTGGACCACTGATGTCACATGGACTATGTCCTTACTACCTTTCTGGGCCTTGAACGTGTCAGTTCCATTGCTGTCTATGCAGGGTCAGAAAGCTCTTGGATTTCATCAAAAATATCTTAATTTGTGTTCCGAAGATGAACAAAGGTCTTACAGATTTGGAACTAATTAATTGTAATTGTAATTGACAGAATTTTCAAATTTGGGTGAACTATCCCTTTAAAAAAATAAAAGGGGTTTTCGCAAGAAAGTCATAAAAGAACCATTTTGGTTCCTCAAATGACCTTTCAGTGCACAGTTTTTAAAAGAACCGTTTTTTCTTAGTGTGAAAAACATTTTATAATTTTTGTGCAAAGGAAAGATGCTATGGATGTTAACGGCTCCTCATGGAACCATTAATGCCAATAAAGGACCTTTATTTTAAGAGTATAAAACCAGCAAACCAGACCAGCTAGAAATAGCAAACCACTTTAGGCTAGTTTTAAGCAGATTTGACCTTTTAAAATTGTTTTTAAACGCTTACGTTTTCTATTCAGCCACCCTCAAATGTCCCTAAGAAGCAAGTGAAGAAAAACCAGGAGGTGATTGTGAGTCTGGATCCTGGAAAACCACCTAAGACCCCTGTAATACCCACAGGACCTCGGTTTATGAGACCAATCTATTTTGATCATGATGACCACGATGATGACGACTATCTAGAGGACGACAGTGACAGTGATGATGATGACGATGATAACCGCAGCATTCCGGTGTTCAGATCTGCTGTTCGCCCTGTAGCAGTCGAAAGACGAGTAATACCGCCCACATTCAAACCGGCCATACCACGGGCACAACCAGCCTTTGCTCTTCCTACAAGAAAATCTGTGATCCTGCCCACTGGAAGGCCACTGCCAGCCCCCATTGGGCGACCGGTGGATCGAGGTATTGGCCGTCCAGTCATCAGCACCTCTGTTCATATGGAGTCTCTCGCAGCAGGCTGCCTGCTTTCAGAGTCTCTTATTGCTTGTGGAAACACTCGCCTTACCCAAATGCCCATCATCAAAGATGCTGGGGTCAGGAGTCTCTTTCTAGCAGGTGAGGTGAGAGCAGTTCACCCTGCACATGAGGACTAATTATATACTGTGAAAAACATTTTCATAGTTTTTTGTCTCTTTTTAAAATAAAAACATCTGAACATCCTTACAATAAGGTCAAAAAACAATTGTATAAGATAATGCATGTAAATACATTTTTTTTCTAGAGAATATACCTTGAATTAGGTGCATTTTCTTACCTCATTAGTGTTTTTTTTCTCATTTAGGCTACACCTAATTCCTTATATACTACATATACACTACCATTCAGAAGTTTTGTGTGTATTTGTTTTTAAGAAATGAATAAATTCACCAAGAATGCAATAAATTGATCAGAAGTGATAGTAAATAGTAAAAAAAAAACTTTTACATTATTACAAAAAAAAAAAGTTTTTTTGAACTTTCTCCTCGGTAAAGAATCTTGACAAAACATGTATAACATTTTAAAATATATTAAAATAGAAAACAGTTATTATAAGTATAAATATTTCACAATATTGAATCAAATAAATACAGCCTTGGTTAGCATTAAATTCAAAAACATTACAAATCTTACTGACCCCAAACTTTGCAACAGGAGTATACTGTATATATAAAAATATGTTTTAAAAAATTAAAAATATTTGTCATATTGTGAGAATATGACGTTGTGACATACAAAAATTGTATACATGTTTAAATTGTGACACAAAAAGTCAAAAGTATGAGATGGAAACCTACTTTTTATACAAACCTCACAAAATATTGTTAAGATTCTGAAAATAGGGCTCTATGTTATTAGAGTTTGACAGATGCTCTTGCATGTTTTACTTTGTTCCAACACAATCTGGCAGTGTCCTATTGTTTGTCCATCAGATGATTGTCTGTATGTGGCACTGCAAGAACTGGCACTGAAATGTGAGAAGTGTAAACCGAGCTTACCATGATCCAGAAAAAGGTGAAAAATTACTCTCGACTTGGTATTTTGCAGATAACAAAATCAGCAAGATCCCATCGCATGCTCTGGCAGGTCTTCCCAACCTGGAGTGGCTCGACCTCAGCAAGAACAAGCTGGATGATTTCTCTTTGGGACCGGATGTGTTTCGGGTGAGATGCAGTCAAAGAAACCTTATTATATTAGCAAGCATACTGACACATAACACATACTGTTTGTTTTCACATTCCATTTGGATCACATAACAATCATTGTGATATTTCTTTGGACTCGAATAATGATCAGATTAAAGTAGGAAATCTGCAAAAATAGAGACTGCTTTGTGATCTGTTATCTGTTACAGTGGTGAGTTATCAGGCCTTATGGTGCGGCACAGTGCAAGCTTGATATTTAGCAAGTAGCTGACGTGTTTTCGCAAGATGTCAGGTCTGACATCACCGAGACAATTCTCACCAGGATGCTGCAGTGAACATGGGAATTTTCAG